AGTTTTAGAAGGAATGGTGCCAGCTCCTCTTTGTATGTCTGGTAGAATTCAGCTGTGAACCCATCTGGACCTGGGCCTTTTTTGGGTGGTAGGCTCTTCATTGCTGCCTCAACTTCAGACCTTGGTATTCATCTGTTCAGGGTTTTGACTTCTTCCTGGTTTAGGCTTGGAAGGATGCAAGTGTCTAGGAATTTATCCATTTATTCCAGGCTTACCAGTTTATGTGCATAGTGTTGTTTGTAATAATCTCTGATGATGGTTTGTTTTTCTGTGGAATCTGTGGTGATATCCCCTTTATTGTTTTTTATTGCATCTATTTGAGTATTCTCTCTTTTCTGTTTTATTAATCTGGCTACTGGTCTGTCTATTTTGTTGATCTTTTCATAAAACCAGCTGCTGGATTTATTGATTTTTTTGAAGGGTTTTTTGTTTCTCTATCTCCTTTAGTTCTGCTCTGATCTTAGTTATTTCTTGTCTTCTGCTAGGTTTTGAGGTGTTTTTGATCTTGTTCCTCTAGCTCTTCCAATTTTGATGATAGGGTGTAGATTTTAGATCTCTCCCTGCTTCTCCTGTGGGCATTTATTGTTATATATTTTTCTTTAGACCCTGCTTTAAATGTGTCCCAGAGATTCTGGTATGTTGTGTCTTCATTCTCGTTGGTTTCGAAGAACATCTTTATTTCTGCCTTCATTTCATTGTTTATCCAGTCACCATTCAAGAGCCAGTTGTTCAGTTTCCATGAAGCTGTGCGGTTCTGAGTTAGTTTCTGAATTCTGAGTCTAACTTGATTGCACTGTGGTCTGAGAGACTGTTTGTTATGATTTCCATTCTTTTGTATTTGCTGAGGAGTGATTTACTTCCAATTATGTTGTCAGTTTTAGAGTAGGTGCAATGTGGTGCTGAGAAGCATTTATATTCTGTGGATTTGGGGTGGAGAGTTCTGTAAATGTCTATTAGGTTAGCTTGGTCCAGGTCTGAGTTCAAATCCTGGATATCCTTGTTATTTTCTTTGTCTTTAGTCTGTCTAATATTGACAATGGGGCGTTAAAGTCTCCCACTATTATTGTGTGGGAGTCTAAGTCTCTTTGTAAGTCATTAAGAACTTGCCTTATGTATCTGGGTGCTCCTGTATTGGGTGCATATATAGTTAGGATCGTTAGCTCTTCTTGTTGCATTGATCCTTTTACCATTATGTAATTTCCTACTTTGTCTCTTTTAATCTTTGTTGGTTTGAAGTCTTATTTTATCAGAGACAAGAATTGCAACTCCTGCTTTTTTTTGCTCTCCATTTGCTTGGTAAATCTTCCTCCATCTCTTTATGTTGAACCTTTGTGTATCCTTGCATGTGAGATGGGTTTTCTGGATACAGCACACCGATGGGTTTTGGCTTTTTATCCAATTTGCCAGTCTGTGTCTTTTGATTGGGGCGTTTAGCCCGTTTACATTTAAGGTACATATTGTTATGTGTGAATTTGATCCTGCCGTTTTGATGCTAGCTGACTGTTTTGCCCGTTCATTGATGCAGTTTCTTCATTGTGTTGATGCTCTTTACCATTTGGTATGTTTTTGGAGTAGCTGGTACTGGTTGTCCTTTCTATGTTTAGTGTCTCTTTCAGGAGCTCTTGTAAAGCAGGCCTGGTGGTGATGAAATCTCTGAGTACTTCCTTGTTCGCAAAGGATTTTATTTTTCTTTAACTTATGAAGCTTAGTTTGGCTGGATATGAAATTCTGGGTTGAAAGTTCTTTTCTTTAAGGATGTTGAATATTGGCCCCCACTCTCTTCTGGCATGTAGGGTTTCTGCTGAGAGATCTGCTGTGAGTCTGATAGGCTTCCCTTTGTGGGTAACCCGACCTTTCTCTCTGGCTGCCCTTAGCATTTTCTCCTTCATTTCAACACTCGTGAATCTGACGATTATGTGCCTTGGGGTTGATCTTCTTGAGGAATATCTTTGTGGTGTTCTCTGTATTTACTGGACTTGAATATTGGCCTGCCTTGCTAAGTTGGGGAAGTTTTCCTGGATAATGTCCTGAAGAGTATTTTCCAGCTTGGATTCAGTCTCTCCGTCACATTCAGGTACACCTATGAAACATAGATTTGGTCTTTTCACATAGTCCCATATTTCTTGGAGACTTTGTTCATTCCTTTTTACTCTTTTTAAATCTTGCCTTCTTGTTTTATTTCATTGAGTTGATCTTCATCCTCTGATATCCTTTCTTCTGCTTTGTCAATTCAGCTGTTGAAACCTGTGTATGCTTCGCGAAGTTCTTGTGTTGTGTTTTTCAGCTCCATCAAGTCACTTACATTCCTCTCTAAGTTGTTTATTCTCATTAGCATTTCATCAAATCTTTTTTCAAGGTTCTTAGTTTCTTTGCATTGGGTTAGAACATGTTCTTTTAGCTCAGAGAAGTTTCTTATTACCCACCTTCTGAAGCCTGATTCTGTCAATTCATCACACTCATTTTCCATCCAGCCCTTGCCGGTGAGGAGTTGTGATCCCTTGTAGAAGGAGAGGCGTTCTGGTTTCGGGTGTTTTCATCTTTTTTTGTGCTGGTTTCTTGCCATCTTTGTGGATTTATCCACCTGTCATCCTTGTAGTTGTTGACTTTCAGATTGGGTCTCTGAATGGATATCTCGTTTGTTGATGATGACGTTATTTCTTTCTGTTTCTTAGTTTTCCTTCTAACAGTCTGGCCCCTCTGCTATAGGACTGCTGAGGCCCTCTCCAGGCCCTGCTTTCCTGGGTATCTCCTGCAGTGGCTGCAGAACAGTAAGGGTTGCTGCCAGTTTCTTCTTCTGCTATCTTTGTCCCAGAAGGATACCTGCCAGATGTCAGTCTCAGCTCTCCTGTATGAGGTGACTCTTTGGATATATGGGGGTCAGCAAGCTGCTTGAGGAGACAGTCTGTCCTTTATAGGAGCTCAAGTGCTGAGCTGTGAGCTCTGTTATTCATTCAGAGCTGCTGGGCATGTATGTTTAAGTTTGCTGAAGCAGAACTCATAAACACCCCCCCCTTTTTTTTTTCCCAGGTGCTCTGTCCCAGGGAGGTAGGGCTTTATTTATGAGTTCCTGTTGTGCTGCTGGCTTTTTTCATGGCTGCCCTGCCCAGCGAGGAGGCAGCCTAGTCACTGTCTGCTTGTAGAGGCTTTGCTGAGCTGCTGTGGGCTCTGCCCAGCTGTCGTGTGAGCTTCCCCGCAGTCCTGTTTATACGGGTGTAGTTAGAACTGCCTCAGCAATCGTGGCCCACGTCTATAATGGCAGACTCTCTCTGTAATGGCGGGCTGCTTCAGCAATGGCATACTACCTCCGTAGTGGTGGAGTGCCTCGGTAATGGCGGACGCCCCTCCCCCATAGAGCTGGACTGTCCCGGGTTCAGCTGTACTTAACGGTGAAACTCTCAATCCAGAGCATTTCCGATTGCTGTTTTTTTGTGGGGGTGTGACTAGCCGAGCCTGATCCCCTGGCTCCCTGCCTCAGGTCCCCCCTTTTTCTTTTTTTAGTTGAACGGTCGATTGTCTCCCAGGTGTTCCAGTTGCCTGTTGAAAAGGTGCCGGGATCTGTGTGATTTCCTGTGCAGTGACGCACTGCCCAGGCTGAAACAGCAGCACTGAGATTCGTGGTGCTTTTTTGCCCAGGAATCTCCTGGTGTGGCTCCCTGTTTCAGTCCCCTTTTAAATCAGATGAATGGGTAACTCTGTCTCCCAGGAGCTCCAGTCGCCAGCTAAAATGTTGCCCGGACCCGTGTATTTTGTATAGAGAACCACTGCGTCAGGGCACCGGCAAAGCAGCCGCAGGGGCCAAACCAGCTGCGCTGGCGACCCATGGGGCTCCTCCGCCTGGGAATCTTCTGGTCTGTGGGCAATAAAAATCCGTCTGGAAATGCGAAGTTCACTCACCCTCTGCGCTTTCTCTGGGAGCTGCAATCCTGAGCTGCTCCTAATCAGCCATCATGGATCCCTCCCCTAGGACCCCATTTCTTTAGGGCTCCCGGTTTCTCTATGCCCCTGGCTTCCTCTCCCTCTTTCCTGGCTCCGGGAGATGCTATCCAGCCGTGCTCTGACAGATCTGAGTTCTTTGAAGTTCTCCTGGGGGTTAAACCTAAACTAAGAAGGCAGAACTTGGTAATATTTCCCTCTCCAGTTAGCTGTCTGATCTGTACCTGTCTCTGTGGGATGTCCTAAATAACTAAAGAGGGTGGGGCAAGGCAGTAAAGAGGAAGAACAGCAGAACTGCAGTCAGCAGTTCAGATGCTATCTCACTGCATTTCTTTTTAAGGACTTGTTTTCCTTAACATTCTTTTAAACTTGATTTCTTCCCGTAGCTTTACACTTATAAATACAGTTATTTTTATTCATCATTAAACTGGGGTCTCAGGACAGTTGTGTGTCTCTAACAGATGAGAGATGCTGCAGTAGTATTTGCAGCGCATAGCCTGTGTGCAGACAGGAGTGAGCACTGAGCCACCATCACATGAAGCAAGAAGTGGTGTGTATAGACTCAGTATAGATGGACAGACAGACAGACATTATTTAGACAAATTCATATAAACTATGCAATTCTCCCATTTAAGGTGTACAATTTAATGGTTTTTAGTGTATTCACAGTGTTGTTCAGCCATCACTACAATCTCACAAAGAAACCCCTACCTCTTATGCCATCTCTCTCCTCCCAGCCCCAGCCCCACACTCCTCAGCCCATCTCCCACCCATCCATTTTCTGCCTCTGTCCGTTTCTTTGTTCTGGACATTTCATAAACATGGCATCGCACAGTTTGTGGCCTTTCGTGTCTGGCGTCATTCTCTGAGCACTATGTGTCCCAAGTGCTTAATGACTGAGTGTTGTGTGGATGGATGACATTTTGTTTGTTCATCATCAGCTGAGAGACACTTGGTAGTTTTGGTAGTTTCAGTTTTTGGCCCCAATTAATGCTGCTATGAGCATTTATTAACAAGTGTTGGTGTGGACCTGCTTAAATATGTGGAATGACATCCCCCTCAGATGTTAGTAACTAAAACTTTGCTGTTTCCTTGATATGTGCCTTTTGCCATGATATCATTGAATTCAGGAGTTTCAATAATTGTGTTTTTTATTCAAAAAACGTTTTGAATAAAAACCATCCACCTTAAAAATGCAAAAGGGAAAATAAGAAATTCTCCAGAAAGATTAACTGAAGAAGGAAGAAGCATCTCACAGTCAGCACTTGTCAGGTGAGGGCTGGTGGTCAGAGCCGCCTCTGTGACTAGCACGTGAGTCTCCAGGAGTCAGGCCTTGAAGCGTGTGCACCATTCGTTGTGAGACAAGAAGTGAGAAGTGATTGGCCAGTAGGCTGCTGCTGCATGCCAGCTGTCACCCTCAGGTTCGGAGCAGAGAAGAGATGGAAACCAAATAATAGAGGGCCTGGGTCAGGACCTTCACACTCAGCTTTCAAGAAATTCATCTTTTCTCACTTTTTTCCTTGTGTTCAGTGAGTCAGGAAACTGAAAAACAGAAAATAAGCATGAAAGTATGTAGTTGACTCTCACATTTATTCAGTTATTTTTAAGGCGTTTATCCTACTCATATGAATGAAATAACTTATTTATTAGGAATAATACAAACTTATTTCCTATCTAGACATACAGTGTCTGTGCACTCCTAGTAATTTTTTACTCTCAGTTGTAATTAAACTTGTGATTTTTTTTTTTTTTAGAATTTTTTTTTAATACTGGATTTAGTCTTAAAAGCTAAGAAAGCCTCAATTCAGGTACTGCTTTTAGACATTTTTTTAATTACATTAATGTTAAAAGAGTGATTAAATCTTTATTAGGAGTCACTGGGATTAGTATTTCAGAGACATCTAAGGAAAGCAGTTTGACTAATGTAAATTATTCCAATATGATGGTAGTATCTACAGGGTGCGGGGGGTTGAGTTAAATTCAGCCTTGCCTGGCACTGCTTCCTGTCTTATCTGGCTCTGTGATTGTTTGAGTGTGAGCACATTCTTAGAAGAGAAGATAGTCTAATTTTATGAACTGACAGTTGTTACTCAGAACTGTACTGTTTCCTTTGGTAAATACTGTGTGTGTTGTAGACAGCTGTCAGATACAACATGGGAATCTCAAATGAATGCAGTTGTTACACAGTGCTGCTGGGCTGGTGGGTTCTCCCTCATGGAGCATCTTTAGCAACATGGGAGGTTTTGGCTTCTCTTGCCATTGCTCAAGGAGGCTGAGCAGTAGCTGGACATGAGTAGAAGCTGGACTGGTGCCCGTCATGCACATGCCTCCAGAATGCTGGACCCATTGAGGTTTCAGAAAAAGACATGGTTATGAGTTATTCTGTAAGATTTCTAGAGAAGAGAAAGAAGTTTAGTTATAAAACCAAACTAGGCCTTTTGGACCAAAGAAAATCAGTTTATTTTTGCTGTTCTGTTTACTAATAAATAACACTGTATTCATAATGTTGTCCCTCTCTTTAAGTTTCCACCGGCTTGTAGGACAAGCACCCTCATGAAGCAATATTTGAAACTTAAAATGGCAGTTTTGTTCATACAAGTATCATTTTACATAGCTGCCAATAAACCCTAGTAAATGAACCTTCCTTAGCATAGAAACACAAAAACAGTTGAGCTGTTTACTGTTAAATATTGACTGCCAGGCTTTAGGAACTTTAAGAACTGGTTTTTCCAGTTTCCTGGTTCCCATCAGATGCCCTGGGACCCTGGACTCCATGGCCTCAGCAGGAAGAGCTCAGCTTTCCTTGTCTTTTATTCCAGAGCTCCTTAAAGCCTGTTTCCAAAATATAGGCTGCTTTTATTTACAAATTTTATTCCTTGGGTTGGACAAGCCAAAGGCCATACCTCTCAAGCATATTGAAGTGGTGATGTGAGCCTTAGGCCTGGGGCCAATCCTCTGTCATGCTGACTTGGGCCCCCAGGATGTTCCCTTAATTCCAGAGTTCTTCAGGGAAGGAGAGTCACCATGTGACTTTCTCTGTTGCTGAAAAGATAGCCTCAGATCCTAAGATTTTACTCCTGCAGCCTCTGAAAATGTTCTGTCTCCCCATGTAACCTCAGTTAACTAAAATTAGTCATTTTTTCTTTCTGTTTGATTAGTAATTTGGAAATTGGTCTTTGTTACTAAGCTTTCACAAATCCCAAGGTTACAGCACAGTGCTTTTGGTATGGACCTTATAACAGATTTGCTGAGAAGAGGTATAATTTACTTTATAAACCTTACATCATAATTAGAAAAATGAAAGCACAAGGCAAACAGGCCTGAGAAACACTTTTAAAGTATATTCTGAGAAATAAGTTAAATTATTATCTTCTGTCTCCCAGACCTCCAGAAGCACAGGGAAAGACCATAGGTGTGCTCGTTTCTGCCTGACAGAAATGCCTGGGCACTCAATCACGGAATATGCAAGCCCAGCATCTCAGAACTCCCAGAGTTAACACGGTGCAGCTGGAGAGAAATGCCTGGGCACCCAATCATGGAATACGCAAGCCCAGCGTCTCAGAGCCCCAGCGCCAACACAGTGCTGCTGCCGTACCATATCATTCCTCAATTCTATCTGGGTTTTTTTACCCTCATTTCTGCTTAGAGTAGCGGGCAAAAGAAAGCCTTGTTTAGGAAACTGAATGTCTGTACAAAGCGTCTTGGGTTAAACGTTCCCTCCCATCCTGATGCCACTCCCCACAACAGGTGCTCTGACTTGGGAAGACCACATCTCGAGTTGTGTCCTCCGAGCTCCTTGCCCCTCAAATCTTGCTTGTTTTGCCCATTTTGAATTTTATCATACATTTAATATTTTGAGGTAAAGAAATAAAAGAAGTGAATTATTTGTGAATTATGAAATGGGAGCATGGTAAGTTTGGTTTACTTTCAGCTTGAATGAACTTGGCAGAAGTTGGTGTATTTAGGAAGAACAGGGTGGGCTGGTGTGGCCCCATCAGGTTCTGTTTCAGCCGTTTCCTGTGAGATCCCATTTCTTCTTGATGCTCTTGCACCAGGAGTTGGCAGGTTCTTGTTTGTAACAGAATTGTTTAATGTTTATTGTTGACTTGAGGCTTTATTTCACTGAAAAAATTACCCACACGTAACAGTTGTTCAGAGTACATTCTAATTTCGAAGAATGAACACGTCTGTTGGGGCTGATTAGTTTCAAGAGCAAACTTTACAGTTTTCAGTTTAAAAAGTAATAATCTTTCTTCTTCCCTTCACTCAGCATTAGTGCCATGAATGGGGCATTGTTGGTCTAGTGTGTGACCCAGGATGGCATCTGTTAGATGAACCAGTGATGTCATTTTACATTTCCTAAGGAATTTCATCCTGGCCTTGCTGCAGCATGTCACAGCCTTATATTTGAGGCAGAGAGCTTTACTTATGAAGGGTCTTTAGAGGACATCAGTAGATGAGAGTTTAGTGCCACCTGACTTTATTTCCATTATACTTTAATTTCTTGAGGATAGGACTTACACATTTGCACTTGGTTCAGCAGTTGTCAGCTATTCACGACTGACACGAACCAAATCCAGTTCTTCATGGCACAGAGGAGATCGCCGAGACCCACAGAAGTGGCATTACTTGCTTTCAGTCATGTGGCCGGGTTGTGAGAGAGGTGGGTTTCCAGTTCAGGACTCCTTCTGCTGTAACTCGAGGATGGCCCCTGAGCTGGTGGTATTCTTAAAAGTCTTTATATAATGTAGGTCCAATCTGTGACTGTTGGTATAATCAGCGTGCCAGCACAGAGTTCTGCAATTTCAGTATCATTCTAAATAACCCACTGGGGAATGTTTATAACTACACAGCGCGTAGGTAGCAGGAGCTTACAAAGCAAAGGCCTTGTGAACTCCATTCCTTTGAGGGTGGAAACTGACTGTTGGCAAAACAGCTCTGAAGTTTTCTGTTGTTCTTAACAACAAGAGTCTCAGGTCAGGATAGGCTTATTGCAGTTTGCTTTTGCCTACAAAGGACATACGTTGAGTAAGAATCTTGGCCTATTACAGAGTAAATCAATAATTGTGTCCCTGCAAATAAGCACTGCATTCTAAAACGGAATCAGCATATTTCCTTATAAAGACACTTCTATTCATTCATTTATTGAGCAGCCCAGTTAAGAGAATAAATATATCATGTTCTGATATCAAATCAGCAAGCTCATTTACTCAGTCCTGTGATGTGCCAGACTTGTGAGGAGGGGTACAGAGAGGATACGGTGAGCAGGCGCTTCAGAGAACTGCAGTGCACGAGGCATGGCGGGATACCAGGGATGAGGGATGGCTCCTGTCTGGCATGGAAGGTGTCTCAGAGACTCCAAGGAGGAGGTGACTCCTGGACTAGATCTTTAAAGCATGAGTAGGATTTAATGAGTCAGAGGTAAGAACAACGGAAGGAGGGGGAACTGTTTCTGAAGAGAGAGCAAAGAAATTCCCTGGGGTGTTTGGGAGTTACAGGTGGTGGCCCTAAAAAGGCCAGAGGATTCCTCAAGGAGCCTTGCCAAGGTCCACGGGGGGGCTGTAATGAATGAACGGGGACAGCAGAACTGAAGGTAGAGATTAAGAGAGAGACGGCAGGTTATGTTCAGGAAGTAAAATTGCTAGGCCCTCATCATGTTTACAGCATGAGATACAAGGAGGAGGCCTTAGTGTGGTGACTGTTTCTCTGGTTTGGGTCTCTAAGGTAGGTTAACGGACAAGGGGAGGAGGTGGTAAAGTCAGCTTTGTGAGGACTGTATATGAGATCTGTCTCCAGACAGCTGGATATGCAAGTGCAAAGCTTGGCAGAGAGTTTGGCATTGAAGATTTGGGAAACATAAGACATAAGTCTTTGTAAATAGGTAAGAATGAGGCTCAGTTGAGGGATGTATGTATCGTGTGATAAGGACAGTAAGCCAAGGGGAATAACCATCATCTAAGGACCAGCAGAAAGACAGAGAACACAGAGATCAGCGTGTGGGGGAACATGAGGTTGGGCAGGGGGTGGGAGCGGGGCATCAGAATCATAGAACAGAGAGTGCTGGCATGCAGCAGAGAGG